ATCGGTGCATTCCAGAACATCCAAGAAGCAGAGACCTGAACAAAAAATAAAGACGACCGGTAAGTCTGAGTCATGTTAATCATATTCATGGAGTGCTCATATACCCTTCCATATTAAGTTGTTTTATATGTGTCACTGCCTTTATTACACGATTGGAGTTTATAATATATGTAGATTTTTATTTTTAAATGATCAGTTTTGTTTGAAAAGCAGAGCCATGGAGAGAAAGGCAGAGAATCCTCCATCTGCAGGTTCACCGCCCATAATTGCTGCAAGGTCGTTCCTGGGCTGTGAAGCCAGGAGCCCAGAACTCTGGAGCCTTCTGCATGGGTGGGCAGGGGTCCACGTGCTAGACCCATCTTGCACTGCTTTCCCCAGACACATCAGCAGGAGGCTGAACGGGAAGTGGAGCATGCTACAGGTGCTCCTATGGGATGCTGGCTTGGCAGGTGGTAGTTTAACCCCTTGACCCACAATGCCAGCACCTTAGACTTCTTTTCTTTTCCTTTCCTTTTTTCTTCCCTTTTCTTTTCTCCTCTCTCTCTCTCTCTTTTTAAAGAGCATTTAATGTGACCTGACTTCAGTCGCAGAAGAAAATGCGGAAAATTAGAGAAGAACACAGGAAAAAGGAAAGATTAAAGCCACTTGTAACTCATCATTCAGAGATGGCTTTTCTCCTTGGTTTACATTATATTTTTGACTATCAACTTTCCTGCATATGCACAATGTCAGACTATAAACCAGAATTTCAAAATATTTCCCAAAGGAAGAATTCATCTTAGATTACATCTGAGATTACAACTGGCACTGAGTTTGTGGGCTCCACATCTGTGGGTCCAACCTACCATGGGTGGAAAATGTTGATTATGCTTGGACTGACAAGCGCAGATTTGCTTTCTTGTCGTCATTCCCTGAACAGTATCACATGACGACTATTTGTATAGCATTTGCATTAGCGCTGACATCGTAATGACTCTAGGGATGACTTGCAGTGTGGGGGAGGCTGTGTGCAGGTTATATGCAAGCTACACCACTTTATGCTCTAGATTTGCACATCCACAGGGCTTGGTATCCAAAGGGGATCTTGGAACCAATCCCCCGTGGGTATTTAGGGACCAGTGCATTTAATTGTTTTTTTCCTGTTTGAAAGTTCCACAACCTCTTCTGGAAACAATTTTGAACTCCTTTTCCGCTGCCCTGTCTCCTTTCCACCAAACATTCTATTCGTTTGGCTGTCATAGGGGTAGCCAAGGTCTTCCATGAATGTGAGAGTGTGCAAGTGTGGGGTTACCTTTCAGGAGTGAAATTGCTTCATAGAGGGCATGTGAATTTTTTTTTAAAGATTTATTTTATTTTTATTGAAAAGTCAGATATACAGAGAGAAGGAAAGACAGAGCAAGATCTTCCATCCGATGATTTACTCCTCAAGTGGATGCAACGGCCGGAGCTAAGCCAATCCGAAGCCAGGAGCCAGGAGTTTTCTTCCGGGTCTGCCATGTGGGTGCAGGGTTCCAAGGCTTTGGGCCATCCTTTACTGCTTTCCCAGGTCACACACAGGGAGATGGATGGGAAGTGGAGCAGCAGGGATTAGAACCGACACCCATGTGGGATCCTGGCACATTCAAGGCTTGGGTTTTAGCTACTAGGCTAACACACTGGGCCTGGCATGTGAATTTAAATGGATGAATGAATGAATGAATGAATGAATAAATACATTTATTTATTTGAAAGGCAGAATGACAGAGTGGGAGAGAAAGACATGGAAGCATCACTGGTTCACTCTCCAATGAGCAGAGCTGGTTCAGGCTGAAGCCAGGATTCCAGCAGGGTGTCCCCCATGGGCAGCGTGGCCCTAGCACTTGATCTATGTGGCAGGAAGCTGGGTCGGAAGAGCTAAGCAGCCAGGACTTGGAACTGGTACTCTTTCACATGACATGTGGGTGTTGCAAACTACAGCCTAAATCACCTTGCCATGGTACCCACCCTGACACGTACTCTTTTTAGATGTTAATGTGATGCTTCACAATTGCAATGGTAATGTAATCGTTTTTACTCAAATTAGCTGTTAACTCACTATAGTTTCAATTTTAATTGATAGGCAATAGTACACGTGTATGGGGTCATGTTATACTCTGATACAGAGGCATAATGGGCAGCAATAGCCTAAGGGTCATCAGCATTCCTGTTTCCTTAAGCAATGACTGCCAATTGGTGTTGGGAGTCTCGAACTGCTTTCTCCTAGTTCATAATACACAGTAAACTGCTGTAACCCATTATCACCCTGCTGTTCTGTAAAACATCGAGCCTGAGCTTCAAGTCTTCCCTTACCATTGCAGGTGGGGGTGTGCCTGTGCTCAGCCTCACGGTCCCTGGGGATCCAGCTCCTGACTCCAACTTCCTGCAAATGCAGCCCCTGGGGAGGCAGTGATGTCGGCTCGTTTTGGGGTTCCTGCATCTACGTGGCAGCCTTGATGATGTTCTTGGCTCTTGGCTTTGGAGGATAAATCGGAGGATGGGAGCTCTCTTAATGTATATGTACACTAACATATTAATATAACATTTATTTAAAATATTTATTTTTATTTGAAAGACAGACTTACAGACAGGAGGAAAGACAGAGAATCTTCCATCTGCTGGTTCATTCCCCAAGTGGCTGCCATGGCCAGAACTGAGCTGATCCAAAGCCAGGAGCCAGGAGCTTTTTCTGGGTCTCCGACCTGGATGCAATGTCCCAAGGACTTGAGCCATCCTCTACTGCCTTTCCAGGCCATAAGCAAAGAGTTCGATTGAAGTGAAGCAGCAGCTGGGACTTGAACCTGTGCCCTTATAGGATACAGGCTCTGCAGGTGGAGGATTAGTCTGATATGCCACCATGTTGGCTCTAGCTCTGATTCTTAAAAAGTGTGTGGGGGTAATACCTTGAGAATTAAATATTTGCATATCTCCTGGCTCCCTGCTGCACCAGCAGCTTGAGGGCAGTGGCATCCTCCTTGTGAGAAGGGCTGGCTCTGGACCAGTGTTAGGGCTGGGCTGATCACAGCTCTTTCCCCGACCCTGCATTCGCAGGAACAATATTCCTTTCCAGCTGTTTCCTGAAAACCGGACACTCTCCATGACCACTGGATATGATGTGAGGATGCCCTGCAAATTCCTGAAGTGCTGGGAGAACCCAGGGACCACACGAACCCTGAGCTGCAGGGAGAGATGCCGGCAAGATAGGACTTGCTATCTTCAGGAGCCTGATGGTACCATGGCCCCACCCAGGTCAGCGGTGGTGCCCGATGCTCATTTGGAAAAACACAAGTTAACTTCAAATGAATCTAAAAAAACCTCTCTAATCTCTGGCAACATCAAAAACGGGGGTGGCCAGAAGAACCTCTTGAGCTGTGTGGTAAGTTTGAGTCCCCTGGGACTCATGTTACCTGAAGATCCTGTTGCAGAGTCCAGCCCAAGAATTTGTGCCTCTTGACAAGCTTTTAGCTTGGCTGCTGTGGACTCACAGGTCACTTCTGGATGATTTAGCCTTTGGGTGCTATCTTATGTCACCCCTGCCATGAATACATGTTGAGCGCGCACGCACACACACACGTTTGATGAGCACTCTGCAGTTGTCCACACACGGGGCTGCAGGTGTGGGTGTCAGATGTGGGCCCCCCACACACACCTTGGAAGTCCCAGCTTTCTCTTCTGTGAGGAGACGTCCTTCCTCCCCCTACCTCTGCTGGACACTTCAAAAGGGACACTTTGTGTGGCCTTTGTCTTCTGCTACTTTTAGCTGTGAGTTCTCCCAGAGGAAGTAGCCAGGGTTGCACAGCCTTAACCACCATGTGCAGGCATTCTGAATGCATGACTGTGTCGGCAGAGCAAACAGCCGACATTCGCTGAATGCTGACGCTGTGCCAGGCCATGTGCCATCTCTCTGCTGCACAAGATTGTCCTGTGCCATCTTGAGCACTCGACGGGGCAGATTCAATCAGGCTCTGCAAACAATCAAAGCAAGTCAATCAACCTGAAGGCCGCAGCCAATGTCACTGAGCTCAAAAGCATACATTTCTAAGTAGGTCCAGCAGACACTGGACCTGAGCTGACTCCCGCATCCACACTCTTGACTGTATTTCAATTCCTGAAGCAGCAAAACTGGGTGTACAAATGGGAGGAGGGTGAAAATGCACGGTTTTCTAGAAGTCTGTTGAAAGGGCTGCTGCCTATCTTAGGTTAATGTACAGTGGCAAATGCCAGTTCCACGTTAGAGCTGAGACGAGAGAAGCCGGTTTATCATCGTGCACAATGACATTAGTTTTTGGGGTCTCAAGCAGAAACTCACGTCTCTTCAAGTCCAGAACTAGTACTCGTAAAATTGCAGTTAGGGTGTGACAGGTGCACCTCAAAGTACAGTGGTTCCCCATTATCCACCCCCTTTTTAAAAATCCACCTTCAGGGACCTGCATTTTGATCAAATATTATATGGAATTTCCAGAAATAATTCAAAAGAACTTTGAACAAAGGATGTTGCTACAATTGCTCCATTTTTATTAGCTATTGTCTTCCTGTGCATAATTTATAAATCAAACTATAGACTCATGTAGGAATAGAAAAATCAGCATAAACAGGTTTGGGTAGTAACCATGATTTTCAGGCATGTACTAGGAGTCTTGGAACTTACACCCTAAGAATATGGGGGTACAACTGAACCAGTGCTTCAAAAAGTTTGAGGGAAATGGTACCAAAGGATGCATTTGTTTTCTGTTTCAAAAAAAAAATTGTTTTGAAATCCATAGTTTTTTCATAATACATATTTTTCATGAACTTTTTGAGGACCTGTCCTATACATAGTTCAAGACGCTTGAAGACTAGCAGCCCAGGACGAAACACATTTCCTGTTAAAGGCATAATACAAGTACTTTTGCTTCAGAGCTACGGATGGCATCAAAGATATTAACTCTGAAACATACAAACTGTTTTTCCTTGCCACACAAATAAAAAGAGAGAATTTATTTTTCATTTCGAGTTTATTTAACATTTCATCCAACTGAACCTAAATCGTACGTTGACTTCAGTCCTGGCAAGACACTGTGCTAATACTGAAATAAAAATGGCCGCTCAGACAAACCCCATCCTAATTCTTCGCATCCTGTCCACAGAAGTATGAATCACTATTTACCTTTGCAAGCTTATTGCACTTCATATGGATACCATTTTTTTTTCCCCTTCCAGAAAGGGTATTTCTACATGGTTGGCAAGGATTTCCAACCTTGCTTCATTTGTTCTTTTTCCATAAACGATGATTAAACCTTACAATTAATATTTCTATACAAAAGCATTAAGAGTCTGAAGCATCAATAAGCAACATTTAAAAAGATGCACCTGCAATCAAGTTCATTGTGCTTTCTAGAAGTAGGCTTGGATCACCTCTTTCTGGTGTTAAGACTGGGTCATTCATTATTCGTCTTACTCATCAAGACCTGTTCACTTAAGGTGAACATTCCGAATTGGGGCTACAAAGTTACTGGGGGCTCAGGGCTCTACTACACTGCCAGTGGGGTGGGCCTCCGGGGACTTCGCTTCTTAGGAACACGGAGCTCTGTCGTGCGTGTGAGGGGTGACCATTCTTTTGAAAGAGAAGCCTCCATGCACGTACAGCATGTCCCAGGACATAACTGTCCTGTGGAAAGCCATTTGGCTTCAAGTGGTTTAAGACAAGGAATCTAAGAAGATGCTGGCGGCAACCAGGAAGGTCTACAGCTTCTGATCTGTGAGTCCTTCCGGAGATGAGAAGCAGACACAAGGCACAGCATGGTTTATGTGAAATTCAGTCTGGTTACACTGTCAGAAAAAACAAAGAATGGCCCAAACTCAATAATCTCTGAATTACGTGGATCTCAGCGGCATGACTACCTAGACCTGACACATAGGATCCGTTTAAGTCATTGCAAATGATGATGTCACAGTGACATATGGTTTCATTAACTGCAAAACAGAATAGACAACATTCACCTAAGAGTCTCCTTGATGGATTCAGCCAGACATTGTCTTTGCAAAAGTTGAAGATCTATAACTAAAGACGTGTTGGTAGCTGGAACGGTGATCTCACTTTAAAAAAAAAAATTAATCCAACAGTCCAGGTGGAGCCCAGTAACAGAGCATTGGCAGAATTTGACAAATTCAGTTATTCAAAGACAGTGAGAGCAAGGTGAAATGGATATCTTTATAGGGATGTCAAGACACTAAACTTAACGTCAGCTGAGTCGCTCCACCACCGATGATATGCGCTGACAGCAGGGACAGCGGACAGCACTGGGGTGAGGACTGATTTGTGGCTCGAAGGGAGCCACCCCCAAAACTTCATCATTTGCTTCGGGCCTACTCACTGCCCAAACCGGGAGCACACTGCTTTTGCTATTGATGGACACGCTTTGTCAGTTTAGCCTCCAAGTTTTTGTATTTTTCCCCAACACGACACTGGGAATTTCCTGATTTGCAATATGAACGGGAAGGAAAATTGAGGAACATTTTCAACAGATAACCTTTATACGAATCCCCTACTCTAGGTCTAGCACTGCTTTTTAGAATCCTAGTGGAGGGTTGGGATATTATCTTCGAGAAACGATTATGATAGGAAGGCCACGGGAAGGGTATTTCAGTGAATCATAACATGATTTCAATAGAAGGGCGCCAGTGGGTGTCGGGCACCTCGCCTGCACCAGGTGTCGTGCAGGAAGTAGCAGCTTCATTCGAAAGGGCTAACGTGGACCTTTGCCCCTGGGAGCACGCAGGCTCAATGGGGTGTTTCCTCAGTGACATGGCTCCATCAGGCTTGTGCAGGCAGCAGGACGGAGCTGCGGAGGCATCTCTCCCAACTCTACAATCCTTTATTGAAGTACACGTGCCGTAATTCAGGACGGGACTCCTGGATCCGGGCCTGCAGCTCCGCCTCCAAGCTGGTCACAGACATGGAACTGTGGGAAGGGAGAAAAGGCGGGGTGACTGAGGGTCAGGCACAGAGAAGCAGGACCCCGAACGAGATGAGTGATTGCTCCTTTTGGAACTTTGTCCGGCATCAAAGAGATGCACTGGGCATAAGAACCTACCTGGAGTTGGCACCATGGCACAGCAAGTTAAGCCACTGGCACCCCATATGGGCACCAGTTCGAGTCCTGGTTGCTCCATTTTTGATCCAGCTCCCTGCTAATGTGCTTGGGAAAGCAGTGGAGGACAGCCCAAAGCCTTGGGACCCTGTACCCATGTGGGAGACCCAGAACAAGCTCCCAACTTTGGACTGGCCCTAGCTCTGGCTGCTGTGGCCATTTGGGATAATGAACCCGGGGATCAAAGATCTCTCTTTTTCGTCTCTTCTCTCTCTGCAACTCCACCTTTCAAATTAAAACAGAAACAAAAACAAAAAGACAAATCTTCAAATTAAAAAATAAAAATTGCACCTCTACTTCCAAATCAAAGATAGACTCCCAATGCAACTGTTAAATCTATCTTGACAATAGGATGCCGGACTGTCTGGCATTCCATACTCGCCAACGTCAGGACACACTTAGATAGCAGAATGATGGACTTCTGACTGCTTAAGAAGGACTATACTATTGTAATAAGATAGGGGAAATCAGTGGGCAGGGGAGGGATTTTGGGAGGGGATAATGGAAATCCCAAAGCCTATGGAATTGTATCATAAAATAAAAAACAAAAATAAATTAATGAAAAATTAAAAATACATATATAATAGAAATGAAAAAGAGGAACCTACTGCCTACCTTTTTACTTCTTACATTGTTGAAAGATGAGGGCCCAGGGCCGTGGCCTAGAGGCTAAAGTCCTCACCTTGAATGCACCAGGATCCCATATGGGTGCTGGTTCTAATCCCGGCTGCTCCACTTCCCATCCAGCTCCCTGCTTGTGGCCTGGGAAAGCAGTTGAGGACGGCCCAAAGCCTTGGGACCCTGCACCAATGTGGGAGACCAGGAAGAGGTTCCTGGTTCCCGGCTTCGGATCGGTGCAGCACTGGCCATTGCGGTCATTTGGGGAGTGAATCATCGGACAGAAGATCTTCCCCTCTGTCTCTCCTCCTTCCTGTATATCTGACTTTGTAATAAAAATAAACAAATCTCTTTAAAAAAGAAAAGAGAGAGAAAGATGAGCGGAGTCTTGGCTGCTGGCAGGAGTGGCAGGGAGTGGCCCCCAGCCCTTGCTGGTGTCAACATGGCAGCTGCGCTGATGTTATGATACCGTCTGTGTCTAGCTTCGACGGGGCAAGTGCTATGCACCCAGGGTGATCTGTGGCAGCAAAATATCATTTATACTAGAGTGCTTTTATTTACTATAAACTGATAAATGCTTGTTGTACCATGTTTAGAAAATAACACGGACGCGAAAAAACACCCCACGTGTACTGCCCTCCCCGAGACAGACCTGACGCTCGTCACCGATTTAAGGACTCGGTGACAGCGGCTAGCATGTCTTGTGGGGCATCTCCAGGAACACTTGCTTTGTATTGGAAGTAAATGCCAAACACAAGGAGTCTCCAAAAAAGTTCATGGAAAACCTGTCCTTTGGAAAACTGTTTATACATGGATGTCAAACTCTTCAGACCCAAAGGAACTTCCGTTTCAGGTCTGTTTCCCATGAACTTCTTGGGGCACCCTTGTGGAAGTATAAGAAAAACTGCCCAGGCTTTCTGCCAGAAGGACCAGCAGTGATACTGATGTATAATGTCTTTTAAAAACCACTGGCATTTAATACAATTCAGATTAGGTAAAAGTGAGAAGTTTAAAACGCAAAGATGAATTCCCACAAAAACAGGCAAAAGCATGAGAAAAAGTATGCATGCAGAAAAAAAAAAACACTAAGAAAAAAAAAACGCAGTGGATGTTTCTATGTAGTGGGTCTTTGGGTCATTTTAAAATGCCACTGGTGCTGCTAATGATACTAGCCATGCTTTACTGAACACTGGTCAGGGCAGACGTGGCACACGGAACCTTTATAGAAACCCTGGGGGCCAGAAGATGCTGAAACCCCGGGGCCCCTGCACCTGCTCGGGATAACCGGAAGAAGTTCCTGGTTTGGGCCTGGCTGCTGCGGCCATCTGGGGGTTGAACCAGTGGACAAGAGAGATTTCTCTCTCTGGGTCTCTCCCTCTTTACCTGTAACTCTGAGTTTCAAAGAAATAAATAATTATTAAATCTTTAAGAATAATACCTCCAAAAGGGAACTTATTATTGCAATAATTTTACAGCTGAGGAAACCCAAGGGGCAGATGAAATACGAAGGCTGACCTTTCCTGGCTAAAGCCAACGCGGTCCTAACCATCATGAGGGTCGGCTCCAGGCCCTTCCTCCACTGATCTAGGCGTGTCTATAACTACTACGAACACACCTGCAGCCTCTTTTTTCTTAGGTACAACTCAGTTCATCTCTTCTGGTCTTGCTATCTGGGCTGGGTTCACTGTAAAGCCAGCTGTGTGGGTTTGGCTGAAGATCCAAGGATTGTGTTTAAACCAGCTCTGTGCAGGTGAGGAGCAGGTGGTGCGCCAGCCTCCACCGTGAGCACCTGCCTGCACAGACTTCCGAGAGCTCCAGGCTTGCTAATGCTTTTCTAGAAACTTGGCTTTTATATGTTCTCAAATCCACTGGTTTAATAGTACGGATAGTATATTTTTAATCTCTGCCAACTCTATACTAATGCCTTTTTTCCATTTATAATATGACTCGCTGTGCTCTGACTAACCCACCAGAGAACCTTTACTCTTTTCAAAGAACCAACTTTAAGATTTACTTTCCGAAGCCAGGAGCCAGGAGTTTCTTCCGGGTCTCCCATGGGGGTACAGGGTCCCAAGGCTTTGATCAGTCCTTGACTGCTTCCCCAGGCCACAAGCAGGAAGCTGGATGAGAAGTGGAGCCACCGGGACACGAACTGGTGCCCAGATTGGATGATGGTGCTTGCAAGCTGAGGATTAGCCAGTTGAGCCATTGTGTCAGTCTCAAAAACCAACTTTTTTCTGGGTTAAACCTCTTGCTTTGTTATCTGCTTCACTTGTTTCTAATTGTCTTATCTCCTTCCTGCTTCCTATAATTTATTCTTTGGTCTTTTTTTTTTTTCAATTAGTTTTCAGCCAGGCTTTCTTCCTAACATGTACAGGTAAAGTTAACTTCTGTAAAAGCAACTTGTCTGTTGCTTCCAACGCATTTTAATGCAAATTATTTCATCACACATTCACGCAGGAGAAAGGATGACGGCAGTCACACAATAGAATGATCACACAGCTGCAAAACCATGACTGACGCACGGCCACGTGCCGCCACGTGCTGAGTGGCGGAGTTCCAGAATGTTCCAGATACCTGTATCTACATTTCCATCTGTAGACACGGACAGCCAAACATACAGACATTCCCCTGTGTCAGAGCAGGGGAGGCTGGGAGAGGGGCTGGAGGAGCCTGAGGGTGTAACTGAACGGCAGGACTTATACGGACAAAATGAAGGGCTGGGCAGTGGATTCACCGATGTTCGTGAGTCAGGCCCACAGGAGAGTGTTATGAACCCAGGATTGTGTTGGACCTAACCGTGCGCAAGCGAGGAGCCAGAGACCCAGTGAAAGAGAAATACGTGCATTACAGACGGATGGGGGAAGTTTTCATCTTCCACCGAACGAGGCCCATAAACAAGCAGAGGGTTCCCCAAAGTAAGCTCATCCTCAACTCCATGAGGCGTGGCCCCTCTGGACGCTAAAAGGTACAGAAAGCTTTTGACTTCTTAAACCTAAAACTTACAATGAATCACAAAAACAGATACTAGGAAGAATATATCGGTTTTCTCACAACACTCCAAAAGCAAGAATCATGGCTTCAACAGGAAGCTTCTCTCTGGGTTTGCAGATCTTGTAGCTGTCCCCCGTTGCGCACGGGGGGGGGGGTTAAGCTCCTGTCTCCCGGGCTTCTCTGGCCCGCAGTCTCGTGGGCGATGGCACAGCATGCGCATCTAACTGCTGTAATGCCCCTTACGTGCGATTTTTTTTTTTTAAAGAAAACCTTTATTTGTTTGAGAGTCAGACACACCCACACACCCAGAGGGGAGAGAGAGAGAGCAAGCGAGCATGCAACCTATCCACTGGTTCTTCCCAAATGCTTGCAATGGCTGGGCTGAAGCTGGGACCAGGAGCTTGAGCCAGGCAGCCCACGGGGGTGGAGTCAGAAGGAAGAGACAAGGCAAACACCCAGGACTTTAAGCTGAGTGCCGATCATCGCTGAGACCCGGGTAGAACTTGAACGCTAACACATCTGTGCAATCGCTGCGTTTTGCAAAAATAAGCACACCCGTACTGGAATAAACTTGATTCTCATGAAAGAATCAAGCATATTCAAATCCAACACTAGGGGGCAGAAAAGAGCTGCTACGAGAGGTGGGAAGCTGAGATGAGGGGCAGCTGGGCCGTCAGAGATGCTGGTTTGTGATCTTTGCAGCCCTAAATGCCCCTGCCTGTGAAACCACCATCCCAGCACCCGTGTGCACCCCAGCAGGATGGCGGGGCCCAGACGCGCACCCTGGGGAAACAGGGTCGGCAGGTACGTACCTCTTCTGGGGGAACAGGGCGCAGCACAGGGGCGTTGCAAACACCAGACTTCCAAAGAAAACAAAAAGACAAATCAGACCACTTGGAGATGCCTGGCATTCCAGGTTTTTTTTTTCTTTCATTTTACCTTTTTCATTTACCCCAAATATCGGGGTCCCTCGTCCCGCGAGCAAGACCCCGATGCAGTAAAGATTCTTAAAAAAGTTTATTGGGTAAGACTTCAAGCGTTGTGGCAAAGTGAAAGCAGTTACAGCACTTGTAAGATTTATTACAGTAAAGCAAAAGCAGCCTAGTGCTAGCTAGCAATAGCCTTGAAGTGATAGCGATAGCTCTAGCCTTGAAGCGTGCCTGGTTATTGCCCGGTTATTGTTTAAAGCATTACACTGCCTTACACAAATAGATTCTGTTTGTGGTGATTTTATGACCTCCTATTGCCAAACGAGTGGAGGAGAAAAGAAAAAGGCAGAGATAATTGGAGTTTAGAAAAGAAATCACACATGTAGCCCCATGCATAGGTTCCTCGAATGGTCATTTATTTTTATTTAAGTATTAGGACCATGAGCCCTGGATGGTTTTTATTTATTTTTTTTTCCTCTTAAAGGAATTTTTATTAAAACAAGAATTTTATCATTCAAATTATGTTTCTTTGCTCAGTTATCAACTCGTCCTTAACAGAACTGACATTCTGAGCTATCCCACAGTAAAGAATGGAATCCTTGAAATTTTTGTGCTTTGCCGAAAAGTCTTTTTTCCGGGGTCTGTGAAACCACGGGCTTTGGAATGCGGGGGGAGGGGGGGTGGTCCCACGCGTTCCACCTTTTGTAAGTTGCATGTTTAGCCCTGAAAACATGAAACGCGTTGTACGCAGTGATTTCCACTCACCAGAAGCCGACTAATCCAACCTGAATGGGGGCGCTCATCCACGGGAACCTCTGCATTGAGAAAGAGATGACGGTGAGTGGTTTACACAGGCCTTTAAGACAATTCCTGCTGCAGCCTTCTGGAAGGCACCTCTCCCCTTTGCAAAATCAGATGGACTGGGTTAGTAAGATGCCAGGGTGACACGGCACCAAGTGCGTTAGTCCGGACTTCATGGAACGCTCTTTGCTCTGTAAACACGCATGCCAACGGCCGGCGGCTTCTGTCTGCATTCGCCCTGGCCGCAGGTGCGCTGCTTTGCTGTTATCAACGCCACAGAACACGCAAACTCGTGAACAAAGTGTCTCGGAAAGTTTTTTGCCCCTCCAAATAAATGTCTCAGATTTCCAATTTCCAAGAACCTTTTTTAAAGTGCCCTCACGGAAGAGGTGGAGAAACAGCGGAGGCAAAACCGTAATGGGGAGGTTAACATAGCATGGTGGTACGGTCTGAAAATCGATGGACGTCTCAAGCTCTGATGGCTTCCTAATCGTGTCCAGAGGAGGAAATGCCAGCTAATGTCCAGGATGCACCTGGTCCAGATGCCTTGAACACAGCATCTGCCATCTCTCACCTGCCTTGCAACTTCTTCTTTCTTGCTTTGAGTTGCTGTTGGTGTGGTTCAAGCCATTTCTGCCACAAAACATTGTACTACTTGCATTTTTTTTTAAATCAATGAGTTGACCTTTTGTGGGATGAATGCTGTTAGATTTTTATAAGGGAGAGCTACCAAAATATACAATATAAGGCTCAATCAGGTCTATGGTTATGCAAATAAAGCCATGAAAAGAGCTGCAGCCAAGGTGGGAGTGGGAGTGCGGTGGTGATGAGATGAGCCAACTTGGGTCCAGAGTCAAGGCAAGGTGTTAGAAATAGCATGCGAGTGGCGTACCCTTGTCTCCAAGGAGACTCCTCTGACAACAAAGTTAACTCAGGAGGGTTGCTGTAAGACAGAAAGGCATGGGCGAGAGGGCGAGAAACACAGTCAACAGGAAGATGGTCCACACGGCTACCCCTTAGAGAACAGAGAGAAAAGGAAAGCAGTGATATGTCACTAGAATGACAGATTCTCTGAGAAATCTGCTGAGCAGTGATGCTGTCATGTATGATGCTAAAGTGTACACACACAAAGATGTGACATCGCTGGGCGACAGAGCCTCAAGGGACGACACTGCCCAGGTGGGTGGTCACCAGCTGCAGTGCTGAGATGGCTCTATTTGATGAAGGGTTTCCCTAAGGACATAGTAAGTACTTGCTCTAGTACTTTCTGGATATGTGACAGCGGTGCTGGCCGGGTCACGGCCTTGGTGACGGGAAGGCGAGCTGAATGCTGAATGACATCGCGCACACAGATGGACTTGAACCCACGGGAGCGGCCTCCTCATTACACATGAACTCTGCTCTGCCACAAACTGGCTACCCTGTCCTCCACCCAGCACCTCCGAGATGAGCAGGCTAGACAGAAGGTTGAACTGAGGGTCCTTCAGAGTTTCAACGGAAAGGCTCCTAAATGGCCAGAATCCTAGGGAATCCCAAACAGACCTTGGGTGTCAATCGGGTATCTCTCTTTTCCTGCCTCCTTGCCTAACTTAAACCCACCTTTAGCAAAACTCACTCTGGGAATCACGCCAGTGCATGGGGGTGCTGCATCTCCCACCAGCTAGACTGCCTTGCCTAACAAAACCACACAAATAAAGGGTGTTGTAGCGATGGACATTGTGACACAATAGTAGATTCAAGCTACTACCACAGTGGAGTGCCGTTTGAGTCCCATTTATTCCAGTTCCAATCCAGCTTCCTGATAATGTGCCCAAGAAGGCACTGCATAATGCTCAGGTACTTGGGAGACTCCAGTAGAGTTCCTAGGTCCTGGCTTTTGGGGACTCAGCCCCAGCTACTGTGTCCACTCAGGGGAGTGGTCTAGGTCCACGTAGGTCCATGGAAGATTTCTCTCCCTCTTCCTCCCTATCTCTGTCAAATCAATCTTAAAAAAAAAAAAGCAAGATATTTTAAGTAAAAAGTTCAAATGAACTCAATACAGTTATCACCACACAAAGCTCAAAAGGTGAGTAAGACTTCATAGTTATTTTCCTCAAGGATTCTGCTCACTTCAGTATCTTTGCTCATTCACTACCAACTGTACCTATTTGATGCGTGCAGTCTTAAGTGGCCACATTCGGCTACACTGGGAAGCCATCAGCAGCACAACCTGACGGCCATATCCACCATCTCCCACGTTTCCCTATGACCCTCTGCCACTCCTGCCTCATTCCTGAACCCTACACCCCAACTCTCTGTGCCCTCTGACCTACGTTATCTAGTATTAGCTTCCACCCCCAGGACTTCACACACAGCATCTCCTCTTTGGGGTAATCACTTTGATGCTCACTCATGTTTCTAGTTTGGGGTTATGGACACAGGCTTTCACACCTCCCAAGTAAATACCTAGGAGTGAAATGGCTGGTCACATGGTTGCCTAGGCTTAACTCTCTAAGTAACTTCCAGGAGATTTCCCAAGGTGGAAGTACCATCTGCCATGCCCGCCAGCAGCGTAGAGGGTTCCGGCTCCCCCGTATCCTCGCCCGCTAAGGTCAGTCCTTCCTGCAGCCATTCTAACAGCTGTTCAGTAGCTGTTCATGCAGTTTTAAATTTGAATTTCTCCAATGACATATCAAATGCCTTGTACATTGGGTGAAGTGTCTGCTTGATTATTTTGTCCCACTTTTTAAATTAAAAGGTTGGGTTTTTTTTTTTTTTCCTACAAAAATGCATTTGAGAAGGAGATAGAAACAAACAGAGAGAGATTGATTCTATCCCGTGTATCGGTTCACTCCTCAAACGTCTACAACAGCCAGGGCTGCAGTGAGGCCACAAGCCGGGCCTTTAGTGCAGGTCTCCCACACCGGTAGCAGGAACCCCTCGGGCATCCCTGCCCCCTGCCCCCCAGGGTCTACCCCGGCAGGAAGCTGGGCTCAGGAAGCACAGGTGGGCCTTGCCCCTCGGTGCTCTGGCATCGAGGACACAGCTCCTGGGTGTTTGCTTGGGTTGAGTGAACAGAAGTCCTCTGTGCGTTCCACGCTGTCCAGCGATGGTCTCCCAGGCTGTTTCTCGCATTTCATTCTCTTTACAGCTTTTGAAGAACAGAATTCCAAATTCTTGACAAAGTTCAGTATGTCAAGTTTTCCCTTACTGTGCTTTTGGAGTTGTGTCTTTTTAATCTGGAGTCAGCTAATCCTCTGCCTGCAGCACCGGCATCCCCTGTGGCCGCAGGTTCATGCCCCGGCCGCTCCACTTGCCATCCAGCTCCCTGCTTAAGGTCTGGGAAAGCAGCGGAGAATGGCCTAAGTCCCCGGGCCCTGTACCCGTGTGGGAGAGCTAGAGGAGGCTCCTGGCTCCTGATTAACTCAGCTTTGGCCATTGCAGCTATTTGGGGTATGAATTAGCAGATGGAAAAGCTTTCCTTCTCTCTATAATATCTGCCTCTTCAGCAAAATATATATATATATTTTTTTTTTTAAAAGATAGAGACAGAAATAAACTGTGTCTAACTCTACTGTTCCGTCACATTTTATTCTAGTAGCTTTATACTTGTAGACTTTGCCACTTTGGATCTACGAGTCAACAAGAGGTCATTTTTGTATATGGCACACTCCCCAAACACTGCTTGCAACCCAGCGCACCTCAGCATCCACAAATTCCCCAGACATGCCCTCCGTCCTCACTGAGCTTGTACGGACCATGTGCCCTGGGCCGAGTCTCCCCTCCACCCCGCCGACCTACAGCAGTTGGGTAACACACCTCTTCTGTGCCCCAAGTCCCGTGACCATCTGTCCTATGCTGCTCTTCCCCACCATGCTATCCGTTCCCTGTGTCGCTCCAGTGCCTAGTCCGCTGCCTGGCATATGAGAGGAACTGGGCAAAAGGCTGCTAAGTAAAATCTACAAATGAACAAACAGACGCCACGTTCACAGGCAGTTGCAGACAAGCCTGAAAAGCTAAGGAAGACATGGTCATGCGCTCTCGCTAAAAGGATTACGTGACAGCTACCACTTCAGGAATAAGGACCCGATGGTACACTACGCCAGAAAGACCTAAGTTTAAAGATGCCACAGCAAAAAAAAAAGCTGTGCAGGAAAGCACCCAATTTTAAGCAGTGAATTTTCAGCTTTAGCTGCAAAAACTTCCATGAGTCACCTGCCCACAGCCGACGCCTTTTCTAGCATGTACTTGGGTAGAGATGAGGCGTGGGGCAGGGGAAGGATGAGTCACAGGACATGCTCCCCTCCTATCGCTGTTTAAAAATGCCATGGCTGTTCAGCTGGTTTCACACTGGCAGAGGGCTTTGTTCACTGCCAACATATAAGCCTAGATACGCTCATCTTCACAGCGGAGGCACACGCAGGCTCTGCAGCTGCGGAATGAGAAGGGGAGTCTGAGACTATAGAGCGAGCTGCTAAGACGCCTGGCAGAACTGGGTATCAGGTGGCATCTGAGAGTCTGGGGAAAGGAAAAGGGGAAGCTTGAACAGCAGTCAGGATGTAGTCCCTAAGGGCGACCTCTGGACTGCTTTCCTGGGCGTGTGCAAATGCCCATGATGACCTCCCATCTTTCTTGGTTCAATGACCTGTATTCACAACTCCTCCCTCTTGGATGCTCTGGCTTATCTGCCAAACTGATAAGATGAGAATTTACAAGCCTCATATCCTGGGGCAAGGCAATCAGTACTTGCTTTCAAAGGCCGCTTTCACTTGTATTAAATAGGAGGGGGCTTTGCTTTAGCAAATGTGTTTTTCAGTTCTTGGTCATTTCCAAAGTGAGACACCAGGATACCTTAAGAGTCACCAATGAGGCGTGCAAGTCAAAACGTGCTTGGGTCAGCACATATCTTCCTGGAATTTTACAATCCTAATGCCTTTGCAGGACCATGAGCTGACAGAGAGCAACCCAGGACAGCGGTTCAGGGATGGACCACCCTGTCAGGGAGGGTAATGCTACTAGCCTCCATTCTGAGTTCATCCTGTGGGTGTCTCTCAAAACTTGACTTATTTCATTTAAGACCATTTTGACGTTTCGGATGAACTGGAAACCTTGGGGATGTCAAAAATGGATGAATTCCAGCTGACGACATCAAGTGGTAGCTGTAAGAGATAGCTGCAGCTCCCCCATTCAGTCATCCCTTAGTAGCTGCACAGTTAACACTGCCTAAACTCAGCACTGGAAACAGAGGTCCGTAGAACACCTTCACACGAGTAGGGACTTGCTGACGTCTGCCGCATGGCCAGTGAGGCCGCAATCACATTTTGGCTGCCACAACAGCTTCTGCTGACACCCAGAGGACACGCCCCAAGATGTCCATGAACCCCTAAGACTGTAGACAGTGTTGGATCCCACATACGCTGTGCTTTTCCCTAAACACACATTCTCATGATCTAGGTGAATTTGTGAATCGGGCATAGGCAGATGTTAATGAGAACATACTCAAAAACAGAGCCATCATGACAACAGACCACAGTGGGCGTGCCAGCATCCCTACTCTGCCCGCTGGGATCAGCACTGTTAAGCCAGGGTCCCAGAAACACAGCCCCACTCATAACCAAGATGCCTGCTATGTGACTGACAGTAGAGGTGGATCTGCTGGACAGACGTGGAGGATGTGAGGTTTCCATCCCACTATGCAGAATGCTGCACAATTTCAAACTGATGGATTGTTTATGCTTGCAACATCCCGTTTAACACGTCTGGACTGCAGTGGTCCACAAGCCACGAAAAGCACCAGAAGGCAAAACTGCCAGGAAAGGTAGTACCAAAAAAAAAAATTTCTCCTACTTGGGTATATGTAGCTGATGGTACTTCTGTTTAAGGTAGCTGTCAGAAGCCTACAGTGGAGACTGACGGGGCTTGGTGGGCTTCTAAGGGTGCATCTTCTGGGGAAGCACAGGGCCTGTGGGTTTGTTTTCAGGAGCAGAACCACCAGGATACGGAGTCACATACTACATATCAGCCCATAGGATTGCTACACGTGGCAGCTTCAAAGATGCAGCCCCTCTTGCATGTCTCCAAAATTTCTAAGAATAAATCTAAGAGCAGCTACTGAGACAGGGGCCACCTTCCCTGCCATGGGGTGGGTGCAATGACACACAGCATCCTGATGAGGCCTCTTAAAGAGGCCCCCAGTGTTGCTATTTCTTCATAGCATGGTTCCTAAGCTTGTTTACCCAAGAGCATCAATGCACAGAAAGCAATCACAAAGGGTTCACTTAACACTGACCCTCTGTGTTCCCCTGAGAGGGCCTTAGTCCATTTCCTGTGGCCAGCACAGGAAAGCTGAGATGGAGCGCTTCATGAAGAACAGAAGCTTATTTGCCTCATGGTTCTATAGGCTGGGACATCCAAGAGCAATGCCACTGTACCAGCTCAGCTTCTGCTTGGGGCTGAGCAGGGATAAGCTGAAGGGGAGTGGGCAGGGGCCAAGGAACCGGGCTCCTCTCCCTTCCCCAGCTCTGGCCTCGTCCTCCCAGGAAGCCATGACAGGTCCCAACTCCGGTGCCTCCACCTGGGCAACCAAACCTCAGCTGTGAACCTTCCATGGGGCAGAGCACATCCCAGCCGCCAGACGTAGGCATGCCTACGGACACAGCGACCTCGGTCAACAATAACGTCCCTGGGGTTAGTGGTCCTGGGACTCACCCCAAGGGAAATGCCCTCTTCCCAATGCCAAGTTCTGCCCGTTCATGGAGGAGCCCAAGCCATCTCTTCTGGTAGATCAACCATGGCAATTTCTAAGCAGCACTGAGCCCAGCCAGTTGCCCTATCCCATGGTCCCCTGTTGGTTGTGGGAATAAGCAAATGAAGACTAAGCAAGTGTGATGTGTGTGGTCAAAGAACCTACCACATGCACAGCGCATAGTGCACAGTGGATATGTTCTGAGACTCCTGCCGAAGGAATGCCTGAAGCTACACTGGTGAATCCTATCTATGCCACGTGTTTTTTTTTTTCTCCCCATTTATAACATTTCATTTATAAATTTGGCAAGAGATGAAGAGTAACTAATCATAAAACAGAAATATCATACAGTCCAACCAGATTATCATATTGTATATCACAACAAGAGTTCATCATGCTGCAAAGAATAGTGTGCACTTCGTAACTGATGGATTGGTCTGGAATTTTTCACTCAGTAATTCTGGACCGCGGTGGACGACAGCAGTGGGACCTGCTGTAATACACTGAGATGTCTTAGCTATAAAATTTCATCTTGTGATATTTTTAGGTTTTGAAGGGAGCCAAGACTCCCCTAATGAATCATTAGACTAATGAATCATTAGATATGATCACTGAAGAGAAATGTATCAGGGCTATAAAAATCAATCTTCCAGGAACCTACCACTCCAAACCATTTTTCTAATTTCCGACTGTACAGTTAGGGACTAATAAACATATCAACGCTAGGTTCACACCGTGCCTTCCTTTTCGCCTGGCTAAGCACCCCGCAGATGCCTAAGTGTACTGGTGAGATAAAAAAAATCAGTCTGCACCCAGTGGTCTTCACCGACAAGCCTTTCAAAATATCTGAGATGAGAAAGAAAATGTTCCCCAAACACCTTTTTACTGCCGTCACCGCTTGAGAAAAACCGACTTGCAAAGTCAAAGTCCATGTCGACGCCGGCAATATTTTGCATAGCTTGAAGTCTGAAAGAGGACGGAGAGGGCTGTGAAGGGGACAGAGGGTAACCGGGCTTACCTTCAAGAAGGCCTTCTTTTCCAAAGTGTTCATGATGAACGGAGGGATGGCTGAAAGCAAAGACAGAACCGTTCAATTCTTCATTTAGTCTCTTACTTCCAGCTCAAATGCCCCCATCCTCGCCATCCCCAACACGTGACAATAAACTTAATGGCACTCTTAGACTGGCAGAGTAAAAGCTACGTGTAGTAATCCTTGAAATGATTAAATTCCATTTTATTGAGTTAAAAACTGCAATCATTTTCTATATCTAAAAACAAACAACAACAACGAAAAACCCACTCTAATGCCTCCTGCCAGTCAGAAAGGTTTACAACCTTAAAGAGAACTTCACATTTTGGGGGAAGGATTTCTCTTATTTTTACTAGAAAGGCAGTTAGTTACAGACAGGGAAGTAAACAGAGAGAGAGAGAGAGAGAGAGAGAGAGAGTCCACCCACTGCTTCATGCCTCAAATGGCTACAATGGCCAGAGCTGGGCTAGTCCAGAGCTAGAAGCCAGGAGCCAAGAACCAGCAGTTTCGCCTAGGCCTCCCACATGAGTACAGGAGTCCAAGGATTTGGGCCAGCCTCCGCTGCTTCCCCAAGCTGGTTGGCAGGGAGGTGGACTGGAAGTGGAGCAGCCACCAGGACTTGAACTAACACCCACTAGGCATGCCAATACCACAGGTGGAAAATTAGCCTGAAATGCCACTGTACTGGACCTGGAACTTATCTTTTAACTTTAAGTAGGCTACTGTACAAACAGTAGGAACTTTGCTCTTCTGTTTTAGTTAAACATACAGAAATTCACACATGGCTAACAGCATGTAGAATCCTGTCTGGGACAAGGGAGAAAGTGCTTTAGCGGGAGCAAGTCCATTTGCTACCCACCAGATCTTACAAAAGTTCCCTGACTTCCCTGAGCTGCCCTTCTTTGCTTCCCTTCTCTACAAAAGGGAGGCAAACTGCTTTAGACCTGGCTATGATGATCACACGCCAACTATGTCTGCAAAATGTCAGGGATGTGGCAGGCAGCACTGGTTGATCCGCTCACACACTTTGTCAGACTGAACTGTCATATCCATGTCAATTACCCTTCCAGATTTCCCTGGGAAACAAAGAGTGTTTGTTCTCTGGGGCCTAAAGAGTCCTTAAAACAGACAACTGACTGGGAATAGACGAGTGGGCTGGCTGAGCGTCAGGAGGAGGGAAGGTGTTACATAACAAAGAAGACCCAAACCGAGAGTTCACGCAGCCGGAAGCTGGCACTGTGTCCCTTGGCCTTCTGCAGGGGCAGGACCCTCACCACCTGCTGGATCACTGCTGCCTTTGCTGGTCCTGAACTCAGGGGAGTCTGGAGTCTGCCTACATGCAGGACTGTGGTTTGCCAGACATCCCTACTCGAAGCCCTGGCATCCCACAAGGCTGAGGCTGTGTTCCTTTGTTGAGTCCAGCCATTGTGATCCTACCACAGTGAGCTTTGGCCAGGCTGTGAAGACAGGGGTTCCGCTACAGATACAGCCCAATCCACAGATGCCCCAGTTGCTTCTATCAACGGAGTGATGTTTACTCAAACTACTGCATGCTGTAAATGGAATTGGAAATTTTTCTTCTGCCAGGGTCCAGGGAGACAGAAATCAGCAACTAGGAAGTAGCCTGCTCTGGATTTTCTGAGTGTTGAGTTCATCTGCAGTTCCGTCGGGGGGCCCAGACCATATAATCCTGCAGGCTTCATACAGCCTACGGGCTGGAGTTTTCCAACTGATCTCTTGGTGACTCATAATATGTAATACACTGTAACTACTATGTCAATCTGAGGGGCTTCAAACGTGTTCATGGAAATGAAATTAAAATAAGTTTATTTTGGTACAAATACTCTGGTGTCTAGGCAGGTTTTTTTTTTTTTTTTAATAATATGTATTTCCAAGAACTTTTCATTTTACTTTACTTGAAAGAAGTGCAGAGAGAGAGAGATTCATTCCCTAAACAGCTGCAATAACCGGAGTTGGGTCAGTCTGAAGCCAGAAGTCAGGCGCGTTTCCCCGAGTCTGCCACACAGAGGCAGGGCCCAAAGCCTGATGCTGTCTTCTGCTACTTTCCCAGGCACATGACCAGGAACTGGACAGGAAGTGCAGTAGCCAGACACCAACCTGCACCCATACGGGATGCCAGCGCTTCAGGGGCACAGTGGGGCTCCCTTCATGAACATTTTGATTCATATGTCATTGATTTCAAAGAAAGTCTTTTGAAGCAAAATAAATATATCTTTTAATCCACTTCCTGTGGGGTTTCTGAAGTAGTACCCTTCTTACACAGTATTGGTTGGGGATTCATCACACACTCACACGCAGGCTGTACTCATTTAGTACAAATGAGATGTGGTTTTTACACATATTTTCAAGCCTCCACTGCCTCAACCTGCGCATACAGAACCTGACTCTAGAATGTTCCTCAAAGTCTTCCTTCCTGCACTTCTACTTTTGTCGGTTACACCTGTTTGCTGGCCAAGGGGCACTGTGGTGGCAAAAGGGATTTAAAGACAGTAACTAGGAATACTCCTGGGGATACCCGACGGCAGCTGATTCAGCGTGCGTCCTTGGGGGGCTCCATGTGGACAGCCACGTCCTGTTCATGGCAAACGGTGGGATCTGTGGCATCTGTGGCTTTCTGTGACGATCACGGCGATGCCCAGTGATGCCCAGGCCCTGGTTCCCAGCAAGGCAGGATCTCTGCCACGCCTTGGTCCCAAAGTGCTTCTTAGCAGCTCACCAGTGGCCCAGGGACTCCCAGGGGAGCCACAGAGAATGGAGATTTTCCGCTTTTGGTCACACCAACTCTAGGGGTGAAAACTGAGTAATTAGTTGGCACATGTTTTGTTCACAGCTGCTCCAGCCTTCCACACTCACTCTGTATTCCAAGCGGTTTTCGATGGACAGAAATAAATCTTGGATATAAATTAGTTCTCTGCATGGACCTTGCAAGATTTACAAAGACAGCAAAGTCCTACCCTTCAAATTCTCATCACCCCTAGCATGCCGTCCAGGTCCAACCTGCCACTGCTTCTCACCTGCAGAAAGAGAGATAGCCTCTACATGGTCTCGCCAACATTTTCATTCCCTCCTCCGTCTGTTCTTGGCACAACATCCAGTGCTACACAGTGAAAATCTAAGTGGGATAACACCATTGCCGTGCGTACCATCTGCACGGCTCCCTAGCCCGGAGGTGCAAGGTCAGAGGCAGGCTGCAGCTCCCGAATGGCCTTCTTGAGATGCCCAAGTCCTTCCGTGGCCCTCCATGTCCCTCCCTCCTCTCCGGCGGACCTGCCTCCTGGAGATGCCTCCAACCACAACAGGCAAACCTCTGCCTGCTGGAAGCTGCTGCTCCCTGTGCCCAGGAAACCTGTCCCGGGCGCTTCACTGCTTTACTCCCTCACCTCCAACCGCCCAGACCTCCTCTCTGACTGTTCTTTCCACTTCCATACCAACACGTCCCAACACATTTGTCCCCTTCCTCCCTTACGACTGGTTCAGTGGTTGACTATCCCTAAGCCAAAAATCCTAAATGCTCCAAAATGAGAAACAGTCCAAGCACTGACATGACAGACCACGCAGAAAATTCCACACCTGACGTTCCCGGACAGTTCGCAGCTAAACGGCAGAGGCACAACACAGTTTATTCTGAACTCCCAAGACCTACTCAATGCACTTCAGTTGGGATATACAAATTTGTTTCCGGCAGAAAAGCATTAAAAGGATGGTCTCAAGTCACTTTTAGGCTGTGTGTATGATGTATATATGCAACATAAAAGAAATTCCTTATTTAGACTTGGGATAACTTATTATGTATAATCCCATGCAAATATCCCCCAAATTTCCCTAATCCAAAAAAAAAACTTCTGATGAGAAAGATTCCAAGGTAAGGCATATTCAACCTGGAACAAGTATTTTTATTTATTTTCTGCTTTCTCTGGTGGAAAGTAATTTCCACTAAAAGAGCTGGTTTGTGTTTTTAAAGATGTCTTTATTGATGGGGCCAGTTAATCCTCTACCTAGCAATGCAAGCATCCCATATGGGCACCCGTTTTCTAGTCCTGGCTGCCCTACTTCTGATACAGATCGCTATTTGTGGCCTGGGAAAGCATAGGTCCTTGGGTCCCTGCAACCATGTGGGAGACCCGGAAGTGGTTCTAGGCTCCTGGTTTCAGATCAGCTCACGTCTGGCCTTCGTGGCCATTTGGGGAATGAACCAGTAGAGGGAGGATGTCTCTCCCTATCTCTCCTTCTCTCTGTAAAGCTGCCTTGCAAAAAAGATTGACTTATTGAATTGTCTGAAAAGTAGAATGATTCACAAACAGGTAGATTAGTTAAATGAAAGATACAGATCTTCCAGCCACTGGTTCATTCCACAAATGGCTGTAATGGCTAGGATGGAGCCAGGAGCCTAGAAATTCATCCAGGTGTCCCACATAAGCAGCCCAGGCACTTGAACCATCTTCTGCTGCCTTTCCAGGCACATAAATAGGGAACTGCATTGGAAGTGGAACATCCAAGACTTGATCGAGTGCCCAGACATGGGATGCTGGCATCATAAACAGGCTAACCTACTGTGCCAGAACTCTGGCTCCTAAACAAGGGGCGATCTCTTTTGTTGACTGAAAGCACGTGAGCTTCTTCACACTCTGTAGATGGAGAAGCAAGCCCTACTCACCCATGCCAGGGGCCGCCATGAGAATCCGGGATATGACAACTTGGGCGATGGCCTGCTGTGCAGCATTCGCCGACTCTCCCAAGCGGTTGCCATTCTCATCGGTGACAGGAATGCCAACTTTGAGTTCCCTGCAGAGCAGAAACACCATCATGGAAGTGTGCCCACGGCCACGAGGGGAAAGACCAAAGCCCTGCTCCATCTGGATACCCACTCAAGCGTCACTTGGCACCGATGGTTCTATCTTTAAACACCATGAACAAGTTTAACAATACGACCCCGCCGCCCACCCTGTGACAGCCACAAAAGCACAGTTAACACTTAGAAGCTTCTACAATAGGGGATAATTTTTCTGATAACAGTCTGATGTGAAGTATGGATTTACTCCAATAGAAGACACAAGTCTATGTGCATGTTCAAACTCGAGACAAAAGTCCTTTGCATTACTCATTCAGCTCATTGTGCGGCTACGGAAGGAGACCCAAGCACATGGCCCTACTGTCATTTTAACTCCTGAGGCTCTCTACTTTCCTATCCACCCCAGAATGCTGTTTCCTTTTGTTTCTTCCCCTATAATTTTTTTTTTTGCCTGTTCAAAAGACAAAACAAAATAAAATAAAACAAAAATTTCAGGGTTCAGGGGAGGAACCTGTTTGAACCAATCCTTTTTCGTGGACCTTCTGTGTCTTCCCCACGCACAATGGAATACAAGCTGGAGCTACGTCTTCTAAACTTTATCTTTAAACAGGAGCGAGGCTATTCTAGACACCCATGCCCTCACCTGCAGCTCAGGTAAGGTACAGTGGTAAGCCTGGCTGGGATGCCCACCTCCTACAGCCTGCGTGTTGGCACTATTCTGGAATCCAGCTTCCTGCTAACGCATGCCCTGTGAGGCAGCACTGATGGGCCAAACAGCTGCAGAAGCCCTGGATTGGGTACTCAGTTCCTGACTGTGGCCTGCTGTCGCAAGCATTTGGGGATGAGCAAAACGGAAGCTCCGTCAGCCTCTGCTAGCTTCTCAAAGTAACGCTCCTGTGCAGTGAGCAGCCCTTGCTAAGCTTGTTTCATCAATAGCCCTCCTCTCCTCCTCCTCCCCACCCTTAGATGATTTCAAAGCAAGTCCCAGATCTGGACGAATTAAGACAGATTTTTTTTCCCAGGTCAATCAAAACGAAGTAAGACCACACGAGAGCCTCGCACCCCATCTTACCTTTGCCTCATTAACGGAATGTTGATGCAGTTGGCTGCGGCCACAGCAGCAAAGGGCACGAAGCGTCCTATCAGAGGGGACACGTGCTGCGGACGAGACAGGTCCAAGAGCGTTATCCTGCTTTCCCTGCACTACTGAAAGCAAGTATTGAGTTCTTCTCAAAAGCTCTTCAAAACACAGAGTCCTATTTGTACAGAAACGTAAGCCCGGATGATGTTTTTCCAAACCTATAGGCTTCTTTAGTGTTCCTCTGCCAACTGGCAGCATGAGCAGGCGAGGACCAGGCACACACGTCTGGGTCATCCTGGCGGTTTAGTGTAGCGGCAAGTGCAGGTCCTGGTCTAGCTTGCAGTGAATCCTGACACTGCCGGCTCCCCTCCCTCTTCTGAGCCACATGGTCTCTAAGGGCTGAAATGTGAGCATTTTACATACCGAGCCAAGCAATAACCTTGGCCTTGACCACTGGTATTAGTGATAACCCTTCCCAAACTCATTTGGAGCTAGAACTTAGATATGCAGCAGAAGATAATGATTCTAAGACATCAGTGAGAGGGCTGGCACTGTGGTGCAGCAGGCAAAGCCACAGCCTATGATGCCAGGATCCCATGTGGGTGCCATTCCAAGCCCTGGCTGCTTCCCTAACTGAGCCAGCTCACTGCTGGTGGCTTGGGAAAGGCAGCAGATGATACAAATGGCTGGGCCCTTGCCATCCACGTGGGAGAGCCAGAGGTGGCTTCTGGCTCCTGGCTTCAGCCTGGCCCAGCCATGACTGCTGCTGCAACCATTTGAGGAGTGACACAACGCACAGGAGAGTTCTCTGTCTTTCCCTCTCTCTCTGTAAATTCTTACCTTTTGGGCTGGCATCATGGCATAGTAGGTTAAACTTCTGCCTGCCGTACTAATATTCTATATGGGTACCAGTTTGCGTCCTGGGTGTTCATTTCGCATCCAGCTGCCTGTTCTTGGGCCCCTGTGCCCACACAGGAGACCTGGAACAAGCTTTGGAGCACCCTAGCTCTGGTCATTTGTGGCCATTTGAGGAGTGAACCAGAGGGTGAAAGATCTCTCTGTCTCTGCTTTTCTCTCAAATAACATCTGTCCCTTGAACAAAAAAAAACAACTGAATCTATTAATCTGTGACTTTCAAATAAAAATTTGAAAAACTGAAGAAGGAATACAGGAGCCTAGGGCCAGACTGGTGGAAACAAATGAAGAAGCTCCACTACTGAAATAGAAATCCGAGTACCTTGGCCAGTGCATTCAGTCCCAGAGCTGTGGCCACAGCCCCCGTCGTCGCAGACACGTAAGCTGTCCCCAGTTCCCTGGGAAGAGAAAAAGATGCTGCATGAATGGTGAGAGAACGCCAGGAACTGTGGGTATGTTACTGGGACTCAAGGAGAAATAGGACAAGGAACGGAGAATCGGGCAGGGGGCATGATGTTTGACCTCAGGATGCTGATGAAGACGTGGTGCCCCTACCAGAGCACCTGAGCTGCACACACGCCTCAGCTCCGGGCTCCAGCTTTCTGCTAACAGAGATCCTAGCAATCAGCCGTGGCTCCCACAGTTGGAGCCCCGCCGCCCACGTGGGAGACCTCGATTGAGTTCCTACACACTGGTTCTGCCTCAGGCAGGCCCCAACCAGTGTAGGCCTTGGGGCGTGCACACTCTCTCAAAGAAACACAAATGTTAAAAAATGAGAACAATAAAATGGCATACTTAAGAAAGGAGAATCTACAAAGCAAATGCATTGTTACTCTACGAGGGGAAGAATCTAGAAAAGAAAGTGAAGACCAGAAAGGTCTTCATCCTGGACTACATTGTTAAACAGGTGCACATCTAGTTATGCACTTAAGGGGCAGGGACTGCTGAGGAAGAAGGAGGTTGGAAAGCAAGGAAATGCATACACGGCTAGACATCTGGAGGTATCTGCTTACATAAAAATCCTCCCTCGATATTAAATAAACATACGCAAAGGGAAAATGCACTGGTGTTGTTCTTACAATGAGACTGCAATGGCTCATTTTCAACATGCAATTAAGTACGAGCAAGTCTCTTAAAACTGCAAAAGTGACAAACGTGGCTGGTTTGAGGCTTTTAATCATCTCTGTTCTGTACAATGACAGTAGAAGAATAGGGGCAGTCAAGAACAATTGGAAGTGATTGAAAAAAAAAAAAAAGACAAGAACTATTTTTTCCTTTCCAGTATTACACAACTTATGTTAGCATTTGTGGTTAATCTCTAGCCTGTCTAACAAAAATTTATGGGACGGCCTGGCACAATAGCCCTGTGGCTAAAGTCCTCACCTTGCATGCACAGGATCCCATATGACCACCAGTTTGTGTCCTGGCCACCCTGCTTCCCATCCAGCTCCTTGCTTGTGGCCTGGGAAAGCAGCCAAGGATGGCCCAAAACCTTGGGACCCTGCACCCACGTGGGAGACCTGGAAGAGGCTCCAAGCTCCTGGCTTCATATTGGCTCAGCTCTGGCTGTTGCGGCCACTTGGGGAGTGACTCATCGGATGGAAGATCTTCCTCTCTGTCTCTCCTTCTCTCTGTATATCTGACTCCTAACAAAAACAGATGAATCTTTGTCCCTTGATTTCAGCTGAGACCTCATGGCCGACATCTGTTTTGATATTGGTGGCCACTGATGGATTCCAGACCAATGGGGGTGAGGGCAGTCAGTCACTTAGCAGAGGCCAGACCCTGTGCGGTCTGCTCTGATTCGTGCGGGGGCAGTGACCTCAAGGATGTCAGAATGGAACTGTCCTCCGGGACCATCACCCACACGTGAGAGTGAGGTCTGAGCACACAGGCTGGAAGCCAAGTTATCATGATTGGAGGAGACAGACTTTATTACGTGTACTGTGCGCTGTCTGGGACAATGTAGAGAGAGCTTGGTTTGAAAACAGGCAAGAACACGTATATCAAACATGGGGTGAGACCTCAGCCTTACTTCACAGTGAGGGGCGCGTCTCCACTCCGGTTGGTGTAATTGACCACAGCGTTGAAGGATTGGTTGATCCACTGCCAGAACAGCACAGCCGGCGTGGTCCTGCAACACAGCATTCTGTCACTGTCCCCACCACGTGTCACCAGGACCCAGCCCCCCTTGCCAAACAGAACAACCGAGGAGGACAGTTATGAGACAAGAGTTATGCTGACGAAGGGGGCATTCCAGGGGCACAACAGCTACAGCTTGGGGTCTGTGAGGCTGGGCAGACCCCGACCCTCTCTGCTCATCTTGTCCCTAAGGATGGCACCGTGGTCAGAGGCTGCCTAGCAGCACGGAGCCAGACTTATGGAGAACCGGGTGCAGAGCTTTTCTGTTTGGGAAGAAAGAAGCCACTGGTGGACACCGGCAGTCCCGGCCCCTTCTCGCTGCACCTGAGGTCCCCTGTGCTGATGGCTGTCTGAGGTCCAAGGCTGTGCTGAGGTCACACCTACAGTAACTGATGCACACACCTGTACCTAGATCCGGTGTGGGGCAAAGTCTGTCCACAGGCTGTGCAATTCTGGGTGACATTCAAAATTCAACCACTCTATAGAGGGCTTTTTTCAGCGCATTATTTTGTATGGGCTGCAAATGATCACGCCGTTAGTATTCAACTGGCCCCAGGAGGAACAGCTTCCCCACCCTTGATCTGTACAAAGGGATTTAAGACGATTTGCTCACAGCCTCTGCTTTTTTTGTTTTTCTTTCTTTGTCTACTGAAATCTCTCCAGTATGTTCCTTTGGAACAGCACAGAGAATATTATTTGGCAGAGGGAAAATATAAAGTTACCAGTCCTGATTCACAAAATGGAACTGAGAGTAAAATGACATTTTCTTTTTGAAGCAGCAACATCTGAATTTTAACTTAAAAAAAAAGTAGTCTATCTATACCTCATTTATTACAGAGAAAATAAAAAAAAATATTCAGTATCTTTTTTAGACATTTCTAACTCTTCCCCCACTCCGTTCTTGGTGGCATCATTCAGGGAGTGAGTGCCCCTCAGTTAATTGTAGTCTCAGGGGATCTTTCAATGCTTCAGGACATCATTGCTGAGTGCTTCCACGGTCACTAGTTCGGACAAGCTGGATATGCGAGTATTTTTTAGAAAATTTGTTCTATGGGTTCAGTGTTGTGCCTCAGCAGGTTAAACTGCCACCAACAACACTGGCATTTTATACAGGTGCCAGTGCGTGTCCCACCTGCTCCACTTAGGATACAGCTCCCTGCTAACGGCCTGGGAAAAGCAGCAGAAGGCGACCTAAGTACTTTGGATTCTACTACCCACACAGGAATCCTGGAAGAAGCTCCCGGATCCTGGCACTGCCTGGCCCAGTTCTGACCATTGTAGTCATTTGGGGAGTGAGCCAGCAGATGAAGATCTCCACCTCTCCTCTCTCTCTCAACTCTTACAAATACATAAATCTTTAAAAAAAAATCTTCTGAAAGCCAGTTTCAGTATGTCTCACATGCGAACGAGAAAGACCATCCACTGGTCCAATTGCACCTGCATACACTGGGCTTCAGTAAAACACATCCTACGCTGACGACCTGGGACTCAAATGTCATGAAAGCCAGGACAATACATTTGTCTTGCGACGTGCAAAGGAACACCTGCCCTTGGGGAAAACTGTTTGTAGCAGAAAACAAACTCTTTGTGCTTCTCCTTTCCCAAGTCCTCCCCCAAATAAAATAACCCCACCACCAATTTTGCCCCCCAATTTTCCTCGCTTTCACATGTTTCTGGGGTGCAGTGTGATGCTCTGATACATGTCCATGTTGTGGAATCAAACGCGTGAACACATCATCCCATACAAGTGTGTGTTTGAGTTAACTACTCACAGTGGAAGGCAGGCCGGAAGCTACGCAGAGGACTGCCTTTCCGGACCGGATGCCCGGCTCACCTGTAAAACGTCATCATGCAGCCGGTGATGGTCATGTTCATGGGGACCTGAGCTGACATGCGCCCTATCAGGATCATCTTCTCACCCGTGTCGGGGTGAAACGCCGAGTCGTAAATGTACTTGGCCCTCCACAGCTCATTTTCCGTGAGACCTAGAGGAATAATTCCTTGTCTGGGAAAACAACAACACATCACATGGCGACCGTCCATCTCCCGGTTCTCACCAGTGCCGCTTCCCGGAAACAACTGGGCCGGGTTGCTGGGACCCGCCTAACTGCCGCAGCCAGTCGGGGGCCGCTTAGAGACGGCGGGGCAGAACGGGCACCTCCAACACTGCACCGCAACACTTCTCACATTGTCTGTGATTTGGGAGAAGCAAAGAAATCTAAATCTTTGGTGCAATAAGGAAGTCTCCAATTTTGAAGCCTTTGTGTGGAATGCCATCCCCAGAGATGTCCTGTACAAATCGTGAAATATTTCTATTCTTGTAGACAAAGGCTATGGCCATCAAAGATAATGAATTAGTTTTAAACCTCTGGCTTGGACATCCAGATAGGTGAAAAGTAAAGATTCAGGTACATATGCATTATTTTTTTTTTCTTCTATAACCGCTTCCCCCGCACAAAACGCCAAAACTCAAAAGGCATGTTCGCTGCCAGGAATTGGACAATTCAGAAACGCATCAGTGTGACCGAACCCTTCGCCTCCCCCTCCCCACAGCCACACGGCAGTCCCGTGAATATCTTCGGCCTTTCTTCTAGCATCCACGCAGCAACTGCGTGTTTGTTTAAGGACAGCACGCTACACGTGGTGCTGCATAACCACCCTTTTCACCCAGACGCATGCGCAGCTGAATAATGTCTCCCCTCAAATTCACGTTCATCTAGAATGTGATCTCATTCAGAAACGTTCTCTGCCAATTCGATTACAGCCACCCTTTGGGGTTTTCAAGTCCAAGGTGCTCGAATTCTGTAGATGAACTGGCATAGTATTTGCATAGAAGCTACGCAACGCTCTGGATACTTAACATCAGAGACCTTCGCGCGTGGTCCACAATGACCGCAGCACTCTGACGGCGGGGCACGTTGCCCAGGGCTGCACTGAACACAGCCATCCCTCTGCACCCAGAGGGGTTTGCCTCCAGGGTGCCCCTTGGTGACCACAAGCCATGGCTGTGCAAGGCCCTGGCGCGGAATCCTGCAGTATCAGAACCCACACATAACCGCCTACGTACTCCAAACCACCTCTAGGTTACTCACACCTGCAGCACAGAAAAATGATAAGGACAGTGTGTGCATGCAATTGTTTTCCAATCTCCCATCTCCAGCTACAGGCAACTTGCTTTTTGCACGATGCCGTCTCTTCCAGGGATAAGAAAAAGCATGGGGTGGTTGCATCAGAGAAGAGGAGGCGGGTGCTGGGAAAAGAGGCTGTCCCAGATTGGCACTCAGAGGCAGGAGGAAGAACCGCCTTTGAATATTGGCCTTTAAGGGTCAGCAATGGGGGATATTGGTCTTCCCACCTTTTAGTTTTTGGCTAAAAAAAAAAAAATTGGGGCACTATTGCCAAAAAAAATAAAAAGATAAAAAAGAATTGGGCAACCACTAAGTGAAGGTTTAGAAGAAACAGACTAACCGAACGGCTTCCATTACACACGCAGTACCTGTAATCATGGACTACTTTTTTTGCATTCTCTAGTTGTTCGTTGGTTAACAGAATGTTCCTGGGATCCGTAACGGTGAAGAAATGATTGGCACGGCCGACGAAAGTGCTTTGGTCCCATCGAGGCTCGCGGATGTTAATGTTGGGTGGGAGTGTTCCAGACATCGTCCTGTACTGCACAAAGACAAGGCCACGTGAGTTTCACACCCCTGGACTGCCCCGACACGCACAGACTCACTCACTCCTCCTACTGAAAAATCAACGTCATGACAACAGCAGAGAGGCGCTCCCAACCCAAAGCTAACTTGGTCTCAAGTCTCACTTGAGCTATATCCAACTTCAACCCTTTCCCAGATGTATTTTTCTTTCAGATGCATGTTTTCCCACATTCCTTATTTGTCAGAACCCTAACACAGTGGAGAAAAATAGAAACGTGGACAGTTTTCAAACAGCATGGCCAGCCACGGGGTCTAAGTCTGAATCCCTTGTGCTGTAAGCTAGCCTGAGCTCCGGTCTACCAGATGAACCCTCTGTCCCAAGAGGACTGACTAGTGACACCAAGAAAAAAGCAGTAGTGCCCGGACATGACACGATTCAGGTTCATTCAGCCTTGTTGAGCACACGTACTGCCAGCCCAAAATGTAAAATTCTATTCTTCCTCCTCAGCGCTGGGTATGCAGTAAGGAAAAAAACTGGCCTGACAGCCTATGAAAAGGCGTAGCAATGCAGTATGCAATTTCCCACACAAACTTTCTACTGTCTGTCCAAGAACCAGCATTTTTCCACAATGGCAATTGACTTCTTTCTCAAAGCAATTCATGCTTATTTTATAACCATACTGTATTATTATAATATATGCTTCATAATGAAAAATATAAATTTGAGAGGAAATGAAAAAAAAATACCCATAATCTAACCACTTTGAAATAATCATGGTTAATATTTTGTTACATTCTTTTGGAAACATTTTCCGAACATGTTATCATATAATTTAAACGAGAAGTCCCCAGTTATCCACCAGTGAGGCACTCCAAGCCTCCCAGCTGACGCCTGAAAGCGCAACATTGCACAAGGCTCTCAACCCGGGGGTCTCTCCCCCTCTATAAACACCTGTGCTCCAGCTTGGTTTATAAACCAGGCCCAGGCATGAACAACAGCAGCCAATCAAACAGAACAAGTGTAACGATTGACTACAGCAAAGGTTGAGCTCATGGGATCCCTTCCTTGCTCTCAAAATTCCTTAAAAGTGCAGTCACAATTTTCTGCTGGGCGTTTTCAAACCTCAGTGGATCAGGGGTAACTAACTGATACAGAGGAAAGAGCAGTTGTGTAGAGGGGTAGGCCGGGGATGGGGGGCTCTCGCACATCTGTGGGGAAGCAGCTGAATTCTCAACTCCCTCAGCTGCCCGATGTCTGAAGCATCCAAGATGTGCCTGGGTGTTGAGACACAGTGGGGTCACCATCACTTGGGACCCGCTTTCTCTAACAGTGTTTGTGTGAGTCTTGGCTGTCCAACCTCTGATCCCATGTGAGTCCGGCAGGTCCACTTCTGATCCAGCTCCTTGCTAATTCACCTGGAAAAGCAGAAGACAGCCTGGGTGTTTGGGCCGTTGCCACCTGCAAGGGGCGGTTTCAGCATCAGGTGCACAGGACTCCACAGGTGCCCTGGCCATTCACCCCTGTGCCCATGATCCTGGGCTCGGTCACGGCTGCACACACAGGAGGCTGCAAGCTACTCCCTGCCTTGCCTCTGCCTTCCCTAGGCCCACACGGCCTGTGACGTTCCCCAGGGGACACCTGATACCAGAAAACCAAGTACCATGTCACCTTTCTTTCCTTTCGAGTTTTTACTATTGCCATGTCTCCTTTAGGCTTAACACAAACAGTTGAAGCAAAAGTTAGAGCGTAGCTTTATAGATTTCTAGTTTCTCAGGGACAGAGTGGCTCCATCACAGCCAGCCGTTGCCGGGATCATTTTATCAAATGGTTGCTTTAGGAAAAGAAAGGCTAGGTAGGGCAAAGATAGCATCTGACACCTGACCCATCCCCTGGGTTCACCAGAGAGATAAGGATGCAGAAGGCCAGGGAGGGGGTGGGGGCTGTGTGGCTGATGTCCTGGAGCCACCCGGAACTAGAGAATCCAGAGAGACTGCGCTCCAGGGCACTCTCTCCAGCTAGTGAGCATGCCAAGACCACGCTGCCAACTGGTGTGTGCAGGGTTGGCGTCTTTGAGGTCCCGCCTTCCTCCTGTTGCCCACTGCACCAAGCAGTGCCACACTGCTAGTGAGTCAGAACACTAGCAAGCCTTCTCTGGCAGACGTAGGGACAGGAGAGGGATGGGGCAAGCAGCTCTAATGGCTTGGGGTGGTTTCTATTATACACAAGGAACTGGACTAGACACTTCTGCCTACACATGCAGCACCAGCGTCAGGGTATCCCCCATTCTCACAGCAAGGGGTCCCCTATGACACACACGTAACGCAGGAGCAAAGGTAACATCCCCAGGTGTCACCCACAGCCAGGCTGGGCCAGCCCAGCAGGAAGGAAGGGGGGCTCTGACAGAGAGGTCCATGGATGGCTTTACACGGGGGAGGCAGAAAACAGGCCCGCTGAGATGCCCACCCTCAGAATCTGAGGACATGTGACCTGGCAGGCGACTGAGGATCTTGAAAAGGGGAGACTGCCTCAGATTGTCCTCGGAGGGGCTGATGCAACAAGGGTCTCTCCAAGACAATGAAGGGAGAGGGGAGGCCTGCGTTGTAGCATAGTAAAATAAGCCGCTGCTTGCAATGCTGACACATAACACGGTGTCAGTTTGAGTTCTACGGCTCAAGATCTAGCTCCCTGACGCTCCTGGGAAGGCAGCAGAAGATGGTCCCACGCAGGTGGGTCATCAGGATAGAGCCCCTGACTCCTGGCTTCAGTCCAGCCTAGACTTAACTGTTGCAGTTACTTGGGGAGTGAGCCAGCAGATGGACGTACATGCTATTTCTCTCTTGCTCTTTCCTTCAAGTAAATAAATAAGATCATTTATATATTCAAAAAGAAACAGGCAGAGAGAGAAAGAGAGAGAGAAAAAAGGCAGGAGAGACAGGCAGTGAGCACAGGAAGATGTACAGGTGCTGAGACCAGAGCTTCCGGTTCCCAAAAGGCAGGGACGGGGCACGTGCCCTTGTGGGTGCAGGTGGCCCTCAAGGCCCTTGAGGGAAAGGCTCAGGCCTCAGGATGGCACTCCTGGCAGGTGGAGGAGCCTCTGAGAGGCTTTGGGGGGGGGGCCCAGTGTCTCTCACCCTTCTTGTCTGTTGATGTGAGTTCCCTCCTGCCCCCTTCCATCCCAATCTGTCACCATCACCCTCCCCAGGGCCCGATCCAACAGGGCTGCCTGTTCCAGGATTCCGGAAGAAGCAAAGCTGTGAGCTACAGGAGAATTCTGTGCCAGTCAGCAGGCTGCCTCCTGCTGGGGCTGTGGAAAGACACAGAGCTAACGAACATGGGACCTCTCTCCCCCAAAGCCTCCGTGGGAACAGCTGCCCATTCTGGACTCAGGCTTCCAGAGCCACAACACTCCAAAGCTGCCTCGCTTTGTCTTGTTCAACGTGCAGCAATGTCTCATTTGCACTCCCTGTAGCAGCATGACAAGTACCCGCTTGACTCCATAACTGTGTCTCCTCTACTCCCCAAATTGAAAGGATGTTAGCATTCTCCCCAAACAGCTGATCTCAAAGCAGACAGGTTTCATGAACTAGGATCCTATGTTTCAATTAGACAAGCCTTTTCCACCTGTGAACTTTCACACAAGAGTGCCACAGTCTCACTTTGGCCAACTTTTATAACCAGGGGCTCCTGCGTCTTTGCTTCACTTGAGAGGCAAAGATACAGTGACAGAGAGCTCCCGCCTGATGCTAGTCAGGAGGGAGCCAGGAGCTTCTTTCGGGTCTCCCACGTGGCTGCAGGGAGACCTAAGCACTTGGGCCATTCTGTGTTGCCTTCCCAAACATATTAGCAGGGAGCTGGATCAGAAGTAGAACAGCTGGAACTAAAACTGGCCCACACATGGGATGCCCATGTTGCAAGGGAGGTTTAGCCTGATATGCCACAATGTAATAAGCTTATTTTTTTTTAACTTATCTCCTAACTGTACATTAAAACTGATGAGACCTGGTCTCTCTTTGTGCCTTGGATTCAGGAGGGAGGGGCTGCAGATTCCTGCTGTGACAATGCCATGGGGCAACTCTGTGCCAGGATTTGAACCAGGGCCTTACTGCATTGGCAGCTATGTGGGGGTCCTCGGGGGGGGCTTGGGGGAGGGGGGAGTCCTCCCTGCCGCTCACACTTTAATCAACATCAGTAGGGTCCATGAGTGTCACGGCTGGACTATCTGTAGCAGCTGGCGATGGGGGTACAAGTGTGACACTCAAGTGGGCTCTGAGACAAGCACTTTTGAAACGGAAGTTGCTGTCTACTTTGTCTCGCAAGATTGCCGACCCTCTTGCATCAGCTCTTGTGTCTGGTCGACCTGCCTTCGCGCGCCAGGCAGCATGGGTTTGGCTCTTCTGCTCTCAATGGGGTTCATCATGAACCAACAGGTCATCCTGTCCCCTCTGGCTGCCGTCCCTGGTGGAGGGAACCTTGGCCAAGGGAGAGGAGCACAAGTGTCAAAGACTCTTTCTCCAAGACAAACAACAACAAAAAAGAATTTTCCAGATCTCTAGAGACAGCGAGTCAGCAGTCAATGTGCTGTACTAGGAACTCACTAACAAAGGCCTTCAATCCCAGCTGAAGATTAAACTAAGTGGTGAAGCCAGAAGTCTGTTGCGAGTGGGTGCAAATTAACTTGTTTTCAAAGTGTTACGTTTTGGCCAGGCTGTGAAGCAGCCTGTTAGGGTTACCATGACGACCCTAGGGACACCAGGGGCCCGGTCCTGGACCGAGGCTCAACCTGCACTGTGAGATGACTCCGTCCTCACTCGCACCCTCCGATCCAGTTCCCTGAGTGCTGTGCATGCCACCCTGCGCACCAGCTGGTGGCTAGCGGTGACAGGACCACCGAGGGCAATCGCACTGACCTGCGAGCAGCCTGCAAAGCAAGTGAGCTCTGGGCTGGGCATCCACACCCAGCGCTCTCTGTCCAAGGACACGGCCGCGGGAGAAAAAGGGAGCAGAAAACCGAACGTGGTGCACAGACCTGGATTCCTTCAAAGGGCATTTCCTCTTGGAGACAGACTGGCAAATGCTTTTGTGTCGAAGGGATGGTGCGGCAGGAGACACGGGGCCTGCGCAGTCTGAGGAAGACCTGGCCAACTGCCACCTCCGGCCTTCCTCCCCACCACCACCACACTCTTCCTTGCAGCACCACCTCCCTGTCCTGTTTAACAGGTGACAGTGTGACCACTGTTCACATTCAGACCTCAGGACTGACTCTGGGTTTCCTGAGCAGTGACTTAGGGTAAAGTTTTCATCCACTTTTTAAAGTTACACGGATTTTCACTTGCTACAATAGTACAAGCCTATAAAAATGATACAATATAACCCAATTGCAATTATTTTGGACACATGCTGTCCAATGTTTTTTGCCCTTCAGATCAAGTAGACAGCGCGTATAGCAAAGTCTATGAGCACATTTTACACATTAACAGCAGTGAGTGAAACAAAAACTTAATAACCTTGAACTTTGGGCAGTTTATTATAGCTTTTATATGAAATCTAACTTCATGTTGTTTTACATATGCCAAATGACCCCTACCTATTACCCATAACTGCGCCCCACCACAAGCTGGGGCTGGAGTCACAAACCAGCAAGCCAGCAAGTTTCAAGTGACAGGAACCCAATTATCTGAGCTGTCACTGCTGTGTCCCGGGGTGTGCACAGGCAGGGCACCAGGCGGGGGCTGCGACTGCATATCCAACTCAAAGACTCTGTATCTTAGCCAAACACCTGCTATTCCCTCCCCTCCCCCACCCCACCTTTAAAAAAAATAATATCTTTACTTATTTGAAAGTCAGAAAGACTTTAACGAGACTTTAAAGACTTATTTAAAGAGAAAGAAGGAGAGACACAGAGAAATCCTCCACCTGCTGGCTCACTCCCCAGACGGTGGCCATGGCTGGGAGCTTCTTCCAGGTCACCTAGGTGCTTGGCAGGGACCCAAGCATCTGAGCCGTCGTCCTCTGCTGCTCTTCATGTGCACACTAGCAGGCAGCTGGATGGGAAGGGAGGCAGACAGGACAGGCACTGGTGCCAGTATGGGATGCACACAGAGGCTTTGCCAACTACACCACAATTCTGGCCCTACTTTTAAAAAAACAGATCTATTTATTCGAAAGGCAGAGTTGTGAGGGGGAATGAGAGAGGTCTTCTGTCTGCTTCAACTACCCAAGTCTTTCTCCTGAATACCCACATGGCCTCAGAGACGCCATGCAATCAAACCGGGAATGTACACTCGGAACACTTGTAGATTACAGCTGGCTGAGGACTGACACCTGCTCTGCAAGCAGCGGCTGCTTTTGTCAGACACCTGCAGGGCCACGGGAAGACACGAGCTACTGGAATTCCGGAGTTTCTTGCCAAAGGCTCCATTCTTCCTTCCCAAACAGGTCACTCCCATCTTCTAGGTTAAGCCTGACTTCAGCACCAGCCTGGAAGTCCCCCGTGCATTCCCTCGCCCACCCTGTTCTGACTACGATACCCAGAACATGGCAGCAGCACAGTAAACTGGGGCTGCATGGAGAAGGGGGTCCAGAGGCATCCATGCCGGAATCGAGATGGTGAGGCTGAAGCAAGATTAAGCAACGTGAGGAACGTACAGAGAACGGTTTGGGGTCCAGAGGGCACCTGTCCACGGATGGTTATCCGTCCAAGCTCTGAGGCCCAAGCTCTCAACACTCACTCACTGAGGGCCTCCTGGGTGGAAGCCATTGCAAGGTATAGGGGACAGACAGGCCAAGCAAGACAGAGAACCCCAGTATGTGGGGAGACCAAACTGAGTCAACAGGGCCTGACACAAGTGCTCAACTGGCTAATCCTTTCCCTTCAAGTGCCGGGATCCCGTTTGGGAGCCTGCCTGCGTTTAGACTGCTCTCACTTCCCATCCAGCTCCCTGCTTGTGGTCTGGGAAAGCAGTCAAGGACGGCCCAAAGCCTTGGGACCCTGCAGCCGCATGGGAGACCCAGAAGAACTCTGGGCTCCTGGCTTCAGAGAGGGCTCAGCTCTGGCCTTTGTGGCCATTGGGGAATGAGTCATCCTCTCTGTCTCTCCCTCCTCTCTGTATATCTGCCTTTCCAATAAAAATAAATCTTAAAAAGAAAGAAAGAAAGAAAAGAAAAAGCAAAGCAAAGAAAAAAAGCAAAGAAGGGATGGATAAAGAGCATGTGCAGGGGATGGCTGGTTTTAGACAACACTGCCATGGGAATGCGTGTGAGGAGGTAAGCCCCAGAGTAGGGCTCAGGGGGCCCTACTCTAGCTGTGTGACCTTGGGCAGGACACTCCATCTCTCTGAGCCCCACTTCTCATCCCTGCATTGTTCAGAGGAGACACGGCCTCCAGCAGGGGTTGAAAGAGTGTAAGAGCAAATGGATCTAAGTCACCCTGCACGAATGGTAAGACAGGGCTCTGTGGCACACGGAAAAGATGAAGAAATAATGCAGGAAATTCAAGGTCCACGTGTCGTGCTCGCACTGCTGCTCCAGGGAACTGTACATGCCCATCCCAGCCTGGCAGGATTCAGAGTCCCAGGGCAGGGGCCGGGGTCTCCTCTCACAGGCCCCAGAGTGAGAGTCCAGGGCCAGCTTTCATCTGGCCACCGGGAGGGAGCCGGCGTGCGGGGGCTCGGTGGCCTTGCTCGAGGCAGCCATCTTGTGTGTGTGTGCAGTCAGGGTGTTGGGGCAGCCCGGCAGGGTGCACGGCGCGTGGAAAATCGATCCCTTCCCACTGTGGGGGAGCCTCGCTCCGCCAGCGGGCTCGGGGGTCGCCAGGGACCTCGGGATGCCAATAGCGGGGGAGCCCCAGGTGGTGGGGGCGCTGCCAGGTGGCGGTGGCACGGGGCAGGAATCTGTAAGGGGGACAGGGATACCCCTCTCCCCAACCTTAGGCATCTTCCTCAGCTCCGGAGGAGGGGGCTTGTGACCGGGGAGCCCAAGGGTTCCCTCCTGCAGCTGGCCTGCAAATGCGCGCGGCGCTGCCGGAGCCTGCGCGCCTCCATTGGACTCCCTGAACCTGTTCCATCCGCCAGGGCCGGGCCAGCAACCCACGACTCACCGCTTCTCCCGGGCCGCCGCCCGCGCTGCTTGCAGGTCCCAAGTCGCGCTGCCTCCTCCTCCGCCACCGCCACCGGAAGCGTTCCACCCGCCCCGGCGGCCCTGCGCGCCGCCGCCTTCCTGGAGCGCGCCCCTGAGCGCGCGCTTGCGCGTGCACCCTGGAACCAGTTCCGTGGGCGGTTGTGGACCCGCCCTCAGCGTCTCAGCCATCCTCCCAGCCTCGCTAGAGCCCGGCAGGATCCCTGAAACGCGCGCCCTTGCTCTGGCCCTGCTCCCTAGCTCTAACTCCCAAATTGCTCATCACAGGGCAGTGGGGACCAAGGTGGGAGCTAGAAGTGGTCTCTAGGAGGCACAGGGTTGGCTGGAAGGGAAGGTTCAGTAGTGAGAAATGAATCCAGGACCTGTTGCCATCACAACCATAGACCCTCTGGGCTATTGGTGTTCCTGAGCGTGTGGATTGCCCACAGGATTTCCTGCCACGCCCGCTGTCAGCTGTGAGCTGTCACTGGCTTTGCTGATCTTGGCAGGGCTTTGCAGGGCCTGGGGCCATCGCCGGAACAGCTGGACTGCCCTGGGTATGCTTCACGTGTGTGGTATTCCAGCAAGCTGGCTGCAGCAAGTACACGTGGCAGGGGCTGAGAAGGGGGGCGAGAGCAACCTCGCTACCGCTTGGCACGTCTTCCCTTAGGTGGCATGCTATTGATCCAAGCTAGTCTTCGGACCCTCCCCCCACACCCCGCCCTTTCAGGGCAGGAAATGGGCTGTCTCTGAAAGAGAGGAATGTCCTCTGGCGTTGTCCACATGTCGAGATACACAGACGGGTGGACAACGTTTCCTTTTGTAAATGTTTTCTGGCATCCCTTTTACCTTGAAAGCATCACAGCCCCCTCCCCTGCCTTATTTATGTTTCAGATCCACTAATCCTAAGACTTCATCTGCCACTCTTAGGGGGATGTACGCCCACCTGAGGACCAAACAGAACCCTGCCTGACCTGCTCCGTAGGAAGCCCCCCAATCCCACCTTATGGGGGTTCCAGAGCTGAGTGTATCAGGATGGTCCAGGCTGCCCAGTCTGCTGGCTGCAGAAAAAATTCAGATTCAATCATTTCTGGTCCCGGGATTCTGTCAATCCTGAGATTAGATCTACCTCCTCAGCTTTTGGAACTCCTAAATTTCTCTCTTTTCTTTCTTACTGCTTTTGTTTTTTTATGTGCCTCTCTCCCTTGCTCCTTCTCTCTCCTCTCCCTCCCTGCCTCCTTTTCTCCCATCTGCTTGTTCTCCATCTCTCCTTAAGCTTGTTTTGGCTTGAATTTCTATCTCAGGTTGACCGCTAGTGTTCCAAGAGGTGGTGGCATGTGAACTAAGGGCGGCCGAACTGGGAAAGGAAGTGGGGCAAGGAGGAAGGCATGAGCTTTGGAGCGAAGGCTAGGACGTGTGCCTCTTTCAGAAACCGCTCCCGAAATGGATACCTGGGAGAGCTTGCTAAACTCGCACTGGTGAAGGTTGCAAAACTCTTGCGCTTTAATCTGGACTTTGAGCGATTCAGGGCACAGCGAAAGCCAACCAGTGCTTGAGTCAGCAGAGAACCGGGACAATTCTGAGTAGAGTGAAAGTTCAGGAAGCTGAGGAAAGATCTTGTTGAGTGAGACAGGAAATCCTGCGAGGACCAAGAGAACAACCCCTAAGTTAACTTGTCAAAGGAAAACTTTAAATTCCAGATTATACGAATGAGTTGGTTTTTTTGTTTTTTTTAATGATGGAAGAGATACAACATGGCTTTTAAAATGTTCATGGAAAATGGGATCAAAAATTAAACTAGATAAACTTCAGGGGGTAGCACAATGGCTCAGCTGGCTAATCTTCCATCTGCAAGTGCCAGATTCCCATAGGGGTGCTGGTTTTATGTCCTGGCTGCTCCACTTTCTATCTAGCTCCCTGCTTATGGCCTGGGAAAACAGCAAAGGATGGCTCAAGTCCTTGAGACCCTGCATCCACATGAGAGACCCAAAAGAGGCCCCTGGCTCCTGGCTTTAGATTGGCTCAGCTCTGGCCATAGTGGCCATCTAGGGAACAGCCAATGGATTGAAGGTCTCTCTTTCTCTTTCTCTCTCTCTCTCTGTAATAATCTGTCTTTCAAATAAAAAAAACTTTTTTTTTTTTTTTAAGAAAGAGGAATGACCAAGAACATTGCTATGGCGGAGAAGGACTCTTTGGTAAAGTTTCCCAGGCATTTTCTTAGCTAACTTTCTCAAATAGTCACTAAGCGAACAGATGTTCTTGCTCTCTGGTTCGCCAACAAGCGAAAGCCCACAAGCAAAACACATTGAGTATTTGTAAAGAGAAAAAAATGAAGTCGATTGCCATTACCTTGGCCGTGGGTTTGGTCCACTCTTGCTGGGCCACTTTCAGCTCTTGGTACTCCCCTCTGGTCCTCTGTCTTCAAGGCTATGCTGGTAAAGCCATCTTTCATCTCCTGTTACAATTCCTTGGAGAAATGCCCATGGAGCTTGCTTCAAGCTTGCACAGGAAGCTTGTCGGCAGCTGAAGCGTGTCACCTGTAGCCCTCAGCCTTTTCCCACTCTGACCGAAACACTTGAGTGAGGGGTTGTCAGGGCAAGAGGCTGATTTCACCTTCCCGTTTGGAGGTTCTCAGGCCAAGAGGGAGCATCTCTGTTGGTCCAGGTAACTGGAGATGCTGGATAATCATGGAAGGTCAGTCACAAAGTGAACCAGAAGGGGGGGTAGAGAGAGAGAGAGAGGACTGGAAGCATCACCTACAGAATCTACCTTCTCTGGAGAGAAGAGCCCTAAAAATCTCACACTAGATCCATTTCCTGGTAGATAAAGTCTCCACCTTTAATCCATCCACTTTGTAGGCATTAACCCGTCAGTTACCAACACAAGACTTTGGGGATTGGGAAGTTCATATCTGGCTCAAATTTTGATCTCTCCCAGTTCCCCCAAACCCACACCTTTCTCACATACAATATGTATTCACACCATTAGCAAAAGTTCCAAACTCTGAGACCAATCATAATTCAACAGTCTACAGTCTGTTTGTATCCGCTGAACCTCAAGACAAACTCCCTTCGCTAGTAGCAACCTCTGGAAAATCAATAATGAATTTCGCCCTGCCAAAATCCACATAGAGCGTAGATATCCATTCCAAAAAGGCAGAGCAGGAAAACAGAAGGGCTGCATGGGGCCAACAAGACAAATCCAGCGGGGCCAGCCTTGAATTCTGAAACCTCTATGTCCTGTGTCCTGGCCACCTGTGCTGGGAACGGTTCCACCCACGGGCTTTGTGCAATGGCAGCCCATGCTGCAGTTTCCACTGGAGCCTTATTTCTGCAGGTGCACCAGGCATGAACCACATGGGATTTGCCTGCAGTAGCTCTGGCCCCACATTTCCACTTGGTGTTGCTCTGGTGGACTGATTCCGTGCCTGTGGCAAATCTCCAACTGGACCCCCAGTTAGTTCAAAATGGAAACAGATGTGAAAATCTCCATTCTCTGCTGTTCTGTTGGGCTCTGCTCACATGGCTGTTCTCTGAGTCCTTGCACTGATGCCTGTGTCCTTCCCAGGGTGCCTGGTGCTCTGCTTGCGGTGTTTGTCAGCAGGTATATGTCACATGGCCGGCACCACTGTCTTTCTGGAGTCTTCTTTGTGGCTCCACTGTCACAACTCCAGCGCTGCATTCGTCCGTATGGGGTTCTAACACTGCAGTGCAACATGGCCTGCTTCCCCAGGCTTGCCCACAACCCTGCAAACCCAGTCGGAAGTGGATGATACCAAGGTCTGCCACCAGGAGGAGCTGTGCCTGCGCCTGGGAAGCCGGACTGGGCCAGCAGGGTGCTGGGATGCTCAATTAGCACCTCCAGGCCTCTGAGGGACCGTGAAAGGAAGGCTTTGCCACTTACGTTTCTGAAACCCGTTTAGACTCTTTCTCCAGCTGTGCTGCCCAGTAACACATGCAGGAGCTAATTTCTGTAGTTTCTCTACTTCATCTTCCTCTTATGAGTTTTCCTTCCTTCTTTCCCTTGCAGGCTGGGATCTTTCCAAGTCTTTCTTCTGTGTTCCTTTTTGCACCTGGTTCTAAAAGCATCCAGCAACATCGAGGCTGAGGCTGGGACACTCCGTCGCCTTAAAATAGTCTTTTTCAAACACATCACAGCTCTTAGTTTAACCTCCCACGGAGTGTCAGGACAGGGGCCCCTACAGAACTCACTTCCTTAAGTCCACTTCCCAGTGGGATCCACATTTCCCTGGGAACCTTAGCAGCATGACCCGGACCACCCACAACCCTCTCGGCATTCAGGACTTTCAAGTGCTCGGCCTTGTAGGCATTCTCTTACATGCAGCTCCAAATTCCTCCAGTCTTCTGGTAAACTAATTCGTCTTAAAAAAAAATAGTTGTGTTGTTTTTATTTGAAAAGCAGAGTTACAGAAAGGAGGAGAGACACAGAGATTCCTGCTATTTCACTCCGCAAATGGCCGCCACAGCTGCAGCTGAGCTGATCCAAAGCCAAGAGCTTCTTCCAGATCTCCCACCTGGGTGCAAGGGCTCAAGGCTTTGGGCCATCTTCTGCTGCTTTCGCAGGCCATACGCAGGGAGCTGGGTTGGAAGTGGAGTAGCCAGAACTTGAACCAGCACCCATTTGAGATGCTGACCCTGCAGGTAGAGGCTTAGCTTGTTATACCACGGTGCTGGCCCCTCTGCTAAGGCTCCTCTCCAACGTCAGGCAGTTACTCAGTTACTGGCCATGACCTTGCTTCTTGAGTACCAACATCCTCTGTTATTCAGTTTTCATTATCGTTACTTTAAAATATCCAAGACGAGCTCCTGAGGAAGGAAAAGGTTTATTTCAGCTCACGGTTTTTGGAGACTCACAGTCCACAGCCTGACGGCTCCCGCCAGTTCAGTCCTCTGATGCACCTGCAGGGCAGTAGCAGCAGAGCACATGGAGGAGGATTACACAGCAAGCCAGGAAAGAGAGCGTGAGAGGTGCCATGGGCCTTCTCTATGTGTGTGTGCTCTCTCCAACGTGATCATGATTGTATTATGAGACGGTTCGGTAGTAACCCCAGTGCAATGCAATCC